ATCACAACAGTATGTTTACATNTACAGCGCTAAACAAAAGGAAGAGTTAGAAAAAATAGCAATGCGGTTTGAAGGAAACATAAGACCACAAAATGTTTGTTTTTTTCGTTAATTCTCCCAACCTTTTAAGATATGACACTCCATTCATTGCATTAGTTTGCAAATATACACTTATTGTTCTACAATTGCAAACATTTTCGTAGGATGTTAATTCTTTAATTTCGAATTGAAAATACATTACGATCATATTTNTGAAAAAATCTATTATATGCATCCCACTCGATATCATTGAATTCCTCATAGGAACATGTAGTCCCTCTATTTTAGCTTATCAACAGTTCATATGGCTTCATAGCATGTAAATGCACCATTAGGTTTTTTCCATGATTCAATAATACAAGGTTGTGTAATTTGTGAGAGCTAAAATTTGACACTCCTTTATCTAGATTTGTATTTTGGAAGTAGGAGAAAGGGGAAGAATGTGATCGCCTTTTGCGAAAACGGTAGTAGAAAGGTACTACAGAAAGTACGCAAAGTATACAATTAGAAGTAAAGGTGTATTATTAATTCTATGCGAATTTGCAGTATATTTGGTGTTATAATGGAAATACTAAACAATACATAAAAATATGCATTTTTGATTCAGTTATTCGTCATTTGCTGGAAGAAATCTAGAATACCGACCGTTCAGCTATGCAAAAATGAAAAATGCAGATCAATAGAACTTTTTGTGTGCTTTTCAACCATGCCAAAATTATTTGGCGCAAGTGAAAAATGAAGACGTTCTAGAAGGCTAAAATTCTGTTTTTAGATTTTTTAAATATTAATATCTTATGAACTATATAACCGATTAAAAAATTAATGACGTCACCACCAAGATAATTGATGTGTCTTTCAGCTGATGCACATAATTTAAAATTTTTTGTATTTTTAAACCAAAACCACTAAAAACGAACAAATGTTATTTTTTCATGAAATAACCTTTTTTGAAAAAACTGCATAATTAATGGTAAAAAAAAATAATATTATTTAGAAAGTTCAAGTTATTACCTTTAATTCGATATTACATATTTTGTTACTATCTACTTTTGGGTTTCATTAATTTAGTGATAATAAAAAATACAAATAAATAAAGCAAATAAACCTCTTATATCTTCTTTATTTATTACCTGCGCCGAATAAATTTGATATCGTTCAAATCAGCGTAAAAAGTTCTATCCATCGGTATTTTTGGTTATTTTATAGCTAAACGGTCGCTATTCTACACTTGTTCTAGAAAATTACGCAAACGAAGGTGATGCTCACGAATATTTAGTATGAAGAATTTTTGGTTTTACTACTAATATCATTAGAAACTGTAGAGTAAGCAACATTCTGCACAAGTAAAGGAACCGATTTTATGTGTGGAAGGGAGAAGACTGTTTTATTACAAAACCTTACTATTATTGAATCATGATTTTTTTCTGAAAAGAATTTGATCGACAAAGCAAAAATAAATTTGTTTTAAATAATAAAAAGAAAATTGAGTTACACATTTGGAAGCGGCAAAAATATAAAACACCGCTGCACGGAAGACGGTACAAAATTTTTTAATTTTCCAGGCTACCTTTGTGAAACAAAAATTGTTTGAAGCCTGCGGCGTGAATAAGTAAAGCAGTCATGCCCAGCGCAGAGCACTTGCATATGGGGTTCTGACAGCGCAGGGCACTTGCTTATGGAGTTCTGCCAACGATGGGCATGACTGGAATAAAGCCTTCTAAAATATCCGTATGTATGTTCTCACCATTAAAGGTGACAAATTAGTCTATTCGATAAATAAGATTGGAACCAACTGTGAGAGAACCCTCGAAAACCCAAGGAGTATAGCTTATCTGCAAGAATCTGTCTATCGATCATATCAAACGCCTTGGTAATATCGACAAATAAAGTACCACAACTTTTCTTACAGTCCATTTCTTTATAAATAAAGGAACTAAAGTTTAAAAGAGCATCCTCAGTTGAGAGCCCAGTCCGAAATCCAAACTGCATGGAGCTAAAGAAATTTAATTTCTCAAGATAAGATAACACTCTAACTTTAATTGCCTTTTCAAAAATTTTGGAGATGGATGACAGCAGGGATATTGGCCTATACNGTAAAAAAAAATAATATTATTTAGAAAGTTCAAGTTATTACCTTTAATTCGATATTACATATTTTGTTACTATCTACTTTTGGGTTTCATTAATTTAGTGATAATAAAAAATACAAATAAATAAAGCAAATAAACCTCTTATATCTTCTTTATTTATTACCTGCGCCGAATAAATTTGATATCGTTCAAATCAGCGTAAAAAGTTCTATCCATCGGTATTTTTGGTTATTTTATAGCTAAACGGTCGCTATTCTACACTTGTTCTAGAAAATTACGCAAACGAAGGTGATGCTCACGAATATTTAGTATGAAGAATTTTTGGTTTTACTACTAATATCATTAGAAACTGTAGAGTAAGCAACATTCTGCACAAGTAAAGGAACCGATTTTATGTGTGGAAGGGAGAAGACTGTTTTATTACAAAACCTTACTATTATTGAATCATGATTTTTTTCTGAAAAGAATTTGATCGACAAAGCAAAAATAAATTTGTTTTAAATAATAAAAAGAAAATTGAGTTACACATTTGGAAGCGGCAAAAATATAAAACACCGCTGCACGGAAGACGGTACAAAATTTTTTAATTTTCCAGGCTACCTTTGTGAAACAAAAATTGTTTGAAGCCTGCGGCGTGAATAAGTAAAGCAGTCATGCCCAGCGCAGAGCACTTGCATATGGGGTTCTGACAGCGCAGGGCACTTGCTTATGGAGTTCTGCCAACGATGGGCATGACTGGAATAAAGCCTTCTAAAATATCCGTATGTATGTTCTCACCATTAAAGGTGACAAATTAGTCTATTCGATAAATAAGATTGGAACCAACTGTGAGAGAACCCTCGAAAACCCAAGGAGTATAGCTTATCTGCAAGAATCTGTCTATCGATCATATCAAACGCCTTGGTAATATCGACAAATAAAGTACCACAACTTTTCTCACAGTCCATTTCTTTATAAATAAAGGAACTAAAGTTTAAAAGAGCATCCTCAGTTGAGAGCCCAGTCCGAAATCCAAACTGCATGGAGCTAAAGAAATTTAATTTCTCAAGATAAGATAACACTCTAACTTTAATTGCCTTTTCAAAAATTTTGGAGATGGATGACAGCAGGGATATTGGCCTATACTTATTTACGTCTTTATTATTACCCTTTTTAAAGAGTGGAATCACTACTGCACATTTTAATTAAGATATATGCTCAAAAAGGAAGCTACTACTATTAGAATAACTCTCCGGTGCCGGTAAACATTTGCACGAGAGAGGGACACTTTCACTTAATGTAGTGAAATGAGCCTTAAATTCATTCGCGAGAGCTGTGGGTTCCCCAATTTCAGTATTACCCTTTCGCAGGGTAACTACTACAGGTTACGTACCTACAACAAAGCTTGAGATTGTTGGGATGCTTAATGCACTTTTTATTTAATTTATTTTTAAGGAATATTTTCTTCACGAAAGCACGATTAATCCAAGGTTTGAGATTTATATCACGTTTTCTTGTAGTAAAGGTATAGCTGCTGAAACACAAATGGGATTTTAATTTATTAATAAAAATCGTGTATGCTTTCGAAATGTCGCCTTCCTTATAAACTTCTTCCCACGTTTCATAACGTAATCTTTCATTTAAAAGAGTATAATTTATTTTAGTTGAATTTGAAGGGACATTTTTTTCTGAATTTCTTTGTTATCTAATTTATTTATCTGTATACCGGTCATTGTGTAATCGGTAATACGCAAATCAAAGTTTAAACCATAACAAAAGTTCTGTGGGAAATGCTTAAAGCGGCAGAAGAAATGTTCAATGCATGTTTCAGAAGTTGGCTTGGTGGAATGCATAATATCGACATTAAAATCACTAAGAACAACCAAACCAAAAATCACCAAGAACAAAAAAACTCGTTTGCAATCCATTAATAACGCAAGATATTTTTAAAATATCTGCACTTTTTAAATTATAATTTAAAGGAGTGCAGTCGTAAGCATCACGCACGAAAACTCCAACGCCTCCTGCTGCATAGGATTCGTTTGTGTTTGCATAAAAATTGTCACACGGTAATTTATATTGATCTTTTTAATAGCCGTAGATCCATATTTCAGATTAAAAAATAAAATCTGGTAGATTTGGAAAAAGTTCAAGGTTACAAACTAGCAAGTCCAGTGGCGGATCCAGCGGGGGGTTTTTGGGGGTTAAACTACGTGTCAGTCAGTGGCGGACNGGGGGGGGGGGGGGGGGGGGGTTTTGATACATATACGTCATATTATACATACATATGCGCCATATTAAAACACCCCCCGTGGGTCCGCCATTGACTGACACGTAGTTTAACCCCCAAAACCCCCCCGCTGGATCCGCCACTGAGCAAATCGAAATTTTGCCTTAATTTTGATGGACAACAAAAAAGGCATCTTTGGAAATTAAGGTGGGGTTATTAATAAGGCTGATATTGCTTCTTACAACGACAACCCTATCATCATCAGCCTTTTTCATCATTATGTTGCAGTTGCTAAACCACAGATACACATACTTTTCCTTTTTTGCCCCCTTTGCCGCCATAAACAACGCTCTATTGTACTTAGTAAGAGAGTCATTTATACAAATATTCTGTTTACCGTCATTAAAAAGCTCGGATGTTAACTTTTCATTTCTTTTGGCAATCATTATCTTCTTTTTAACCGACTTCCAAAAAAGGAAGAGGTTATCAGTTCGTCGGAATATTTTTTTATTTTTTTTTTTGTATGTATGCATAACTTTGGACCACGTCTAACCGATTTCGATAATTCTTTTTGCATCGAAAAGTTAGTGTCTCAGAGGTGGTCTCATACTAATCTGGTTAAGATCCGATCAGTGGATCATGAGATATATATATATATACTTCTTTTTATATGAAAGTTGAAGTCGGTTTTTTTTTTTCTAAAAATTACTTGTTTAAGTTAAAGGAAGAGAAATAAACGCAGAGAATATCGCGAGAAGATGTACCTGCGCTCTTAGGTTTTACTCTCCTTACAAAACATTTTTCTATGCTTTCAGCATTGGCNATGGAATCAGGGAAAGCTAAGTCGTGGACATTCTTAATCGAATATATTCTATCTCTTTAGCAGAAAAAAGGCAATTTCCGTAAAATCCGTTCCCTGGTTATCAGCATTGACAGAAACACCCAACACCTTATTTACGATCTTGTGCATACAAGAGTCAGCATTGCCATTGCTAAGTTTTGGTATGCCAGCAATTTCAATTGCGTTTTGTAGATGCTTCTGCTCTCTCCAATTCAGCTTAGACTCGAGTTTTTCCACTTTCTCCTTTAATGTTTTGTTCTCCACCTTCAGCTCATTTACCGCCAACAAAAAGTCCGAATTTATTTTTTTTAAGTTGATAATCTCTTCATACAAGAGTTGAAGAGTAGTAAAAATGTTCTTTGGGAAGGACATTTTTTCGAATTCGATATTTAAATCTAAAGTTAAAAGAGAACAAAACTAAATATGAAATTGAGAAGGTGAGAAAAATTACATCTTGATGGTTTTGTAGAATTTATTAAATAAAAAAAATTTAATAATTTATTTATTTTTTAGTCTACAGAAAAATGTTTTCTTACAGACAGTTGAGATAAAAAGATTTAGAATATTTAAGTATGTGTGATACATTACAGAGTGAAATAATTATAAATATTAACTTGTAAAGATAACAATGATATTCAATAGCAATTTGGGTAGCTGGCGAGGCCTTGTCTCCAGTCTACTTTTGTGTGCGGCGGGCGGAAAGACCTAGTTTCCGCTCCGCCCTGTTTACAGGCCGTTGATCATGGTCGGAAAGGCCGAGCTTCCGATCCATGTTCCCGTAGTCGTTACTTTGTAAGTGAGGCAGGCGGAAAGTCCTAGTTTCCGCTCCACGCTATAGACGAACTGTTGGGCGAGGTCGGAAAGGCCGAGTTTCCGATCCCTGCTCCTATTGTCCTACGCGGTCGCGGAAATATACGAAGCCGTTACAATTGTACTAAGCAGTCATAGATATTGTGTAATTTTTTCGTTCACGGTTGCAGATATTAGTTTATTTAGTTAACTTGTTGAGCAATGTTTTCTTTATTACAAAAAGCGATTCAGATATGTCGATGCAATCATAATGCTTGTTAAAATCTTGGCATAAACACCGAAAAGCATCATGCATTTCAAAGTTTGATTTACAAATACTCAACACAATAGGTTTAAAATGTCTCGTGGGTCTTGTAGGAATACAAAAATTTATCTCACTCAGTAAAAAGGGACTACTGACCATCCCGTTCATTAATTTAATTAAAAAAAGAACACCAAGCATCTCTCTACGACTCTGAAGCGTCGGCAAATCTATAAGCTTCAGGCGATCCTTGTAGGGTGGGAGATTTTTAGACGAGTCCCAACATAAATTTTTGAGGGCAAATAACAGGAACTGTTTCTGCACTGATTCGAGCCTGTCACTATGAATTTGATAGCTAGGATTCCATACTAAATGCATACTCCAAAATCGGTCTAACTAGAGAGGTAAAGAGAACTTTAGTGACATAAGGATCGTTGAACTCCTTGGCCCAGCGCTTAAGAAAAGCCAACAATCCTCTAGCCCTAATCACGCAGGAGTTTATGTGAGACTTGAATTCTAGTTTCGGATCCATAGTTACACCTAGGTCAATGAAATTGGTCACTTGCTCAACATTGTGGTCAGATATCATATACGAATTTGGATAGAACGATTTTCTAGAGAAGGTCATGAATTTACACTTTTTCAAATTTAGTGACATGGAATTTGCTTCACACCATTCGAAAATGCAGGTTAGGTCAGCTTGCAAATGCTCCCTATCTTCTGCAGTACTAATGGACTTAAAGAGCTTAACATCATCAGCGTACATTAAGCATTTCGAGTAATTCAACACAAAATTTCCGAGTTGAACACATTCGGCTTGAGCCAGGTTTCAGTAAACACCAGTACTTTGAAGTCAAAATCATAGGACTGCAAGTGTAACCTTGATAGCTTTGTGTTCAAACCTCTCACATTTTGGTAGTAAATGCTAATGGTGAGGTTACTTATTAGTTTTTTGATGCCGAGGTGGAAAGCGGAAGTTGAGCCAAATTTTGCCCTTGCGGTCTAGATCTAAATTCAAATTCGCGAATGAAGGCACCGCTTGGCCAAAAAGATGGGCTCATTACTCTATCAAAGCAGTCTTCGGATATGTCTATTTTAAAAGAAGAAATGCTTCTTTCATACGAGAATCTGAACTTGCGTACATGCAACTCATTTGCTATCAGCCTGGAAGTTAAATACCCCTTCACATCATCGACAGTGGTATCTTTTGCAAACCTAGATTTCAGAGATTCAGTCCGCCGAGGAATCGGTGTGTTAAAGCTTATGAGTTCTTTGTTCATAGCTGGAGTCAAAAGTGGGCGGTTCTGCGGAAGATCCAGGTCCACAGTGATGGGATTCAACACAATATTTTCCACGCCTCTCCTACGTCTCTTAAGACCTTTTCCAGGAGAAGGAGAGGAGGAGGAAGTATCTAATAATTTAAATTCTTTGAATTCATCCTCATACTTCTTGAACTTCTCGTTGAGCAGTTTTAGCTCTTTGCTTATCTCCGAAAATCCATTTCTAGCGGTTCTAAATAGTTTACAGAGATCCACAACAGTTTTTTTACACTTTGGACATGACCAGCGAAGTCCATTGTCTCCAATAATCATATCCAGAACTCTCCCATTAATACCAGCACACTTTAAATGAGACAGTTCATCGCAAAGCCAGCACGCCACAAAACGGTCCGAACCGGCTTTTACATTACATTTTTCGAACAGACAGGACATTTTTAGCGAATTTTATTAAAAAAGAATAAAAATAGCGAAATTAGGAATGTATTGTACGAAAACGTTTCAAGCTCACAGTAATTGGCAGTTTAATAGCTAGTGGTCTTATTTAGTGAAGTTCAATGGTTAGAAACCGTGCTGAACTTAACAGTTTTAAAGCCACTGAGTTAACAAAATCAGCTGTCACCAAGAAAGCGACTGTCGATGATAAACAAAGGTGTGTGTAAAGCGCGAAAGAAAGCAAAATGAACAAACAAATGCGATATTCCTTACACTCTCACGCAAAAGCAACAATAATGCACCAAAACAGGCAAATATGCACGAAGGCCGACTAAATAAAACTTTTCAATCAACGCACTTTATGACTAAATCAAGTCAATTTATTGGAATTTGGCTTCAGTAAACTTTTTACGGTGTGAATAACACAAATTAGAACTGCTTAGCACTTTGTAAACGAGTTAAACTTTGGAAATTCTTTCAAGCGAAAGTTTAAGTGACCGCACAGTACGAACGTTGCCAGATGCGTTCTTTTACAAACCAGCCACAAAAGAACACTCGCTTAAATGACGAGATGCACGCAAAGCAACAACTTAAATTCGGCTATTTATCCGAGGTCAGCCAGGTCGGTTAAAAAATACGCGACCTGAAGGGTAGTTTTGTTAAGTGGAAAAACTGCTCTGTTTTGAATTGTTAATGGGAAAATAGGGATGAAAATTTTTGTTTCCTTATATACGTGACTTCGATCTGGACACAGCCATGCAGTTTGGTGGATGTTCTTATGCTGGAACCTAGTACTATATATTACCATGTTTCGGGCCCCGGCGAAGTCGATCAGCCTCAGTCCGTTATCGGACGTTTCGTCGTGGAGGCTGAATTTCCCGATAGTGGCGCCAAAGATCCCTTCCTTGCCCACNAAAAGTAGACGACTTCGTTTATTTGGGAACCAGCATTAACACCAATAATAATGTCAGCCTTGAAATCCAACGGAGAATCACACTTGCCAACAAATGCTACTTTGGGCTGAGTAGGCAATTGAGAAGTCCTCTGTCGTCGTACAAAGATCACACTCTATAAGTCACTTATCATGCCTGTACTAGTGTATGGCGCGGATGCATGGACAATGAAAGCATCTGATGAGGTGGCTCTTGGAGTTTTCGAGAGAAAGATTCTGCGAAAGATTTACGGACCTTTACGCGTTGGTGAGTGCGAATATCGCAGACAATTTAACGATGAGCTGTATGAGCTTTACAACGATATAGACATAGTGCAGCGAATTAAAATTCAGCGGCTCCGCTGGCTTGGCCATGTCGTTCGAATGGACAGAAACGCTCCTGCTCTGAAAGTATTCAACGCGGGCCGCGATGCTGGTAACAGAGGAAGAGGAAGGCCTCCTCTGCGTTGGAAAGGTCAGGTGGAGAATGACTTGGCTTCACTTGGCATTTCCAATTGCCGTAAGTTAGCACAGAAGAGAAATGACTGGCGTGCTGTTTTGGACTCGGGCCAAAATCGCTTAGGCGGTTACAGCACCAATAAAGAAGAAGACGAAGATATACGTGACTTTACGTGTTTTAAATAAGTATTTATACTACGCAAATACCTCACATAATTAGTTATTCAAATTGTTTTTTTTTATCAAAATCCCGTTAAACTAATCACATGTTTCTTGCCAGCTACCAACAGCGTTGCTTAGGTAGCTGAAAGGAAAGTTTACCTGAGTTGAGCGTTCTTTTGCCGCTCGCTTACAAAAAACTGCATCTATTGTTAATGCATGTACAATGTTAATTTTCAGCATGCCATTGTTCGTTGTATTTCGAAGTAAAATTGCATTCTTTTATGTACTTACATACTTTCTATAGATATGTATGTATATATATCATGTAGTGTCTTGTTTGGTTTCGTCTAAGAAGACTTAAAAAACTTACACCCATGGGCGTAGCCCCCCCCTAACTTTCAAATTTTCCTTATATATATATAAAATAGTACCCTGAAATACCAGCTTAATAGGGTCGAGCCGCCCCCCCCCCTAATTTTCATTATGGCTACGCCGATGATTACACCCATTAACTGTGAAAGAAATTCCCAAATTTGTTTTTAAATATCAACAATTTGGTAACGCTGCTAGCAACATGTACAAATTATGAAGCTTCAAAGATCCGAGTATCGGTCAAAAATTTGTTTATTGAAACTACCTTCTTTTTTATCATGCGCCTGACTGTATATGCACAATTTTACATTTTTGAATTCTCCATAAACCGTATACTAGTACATCTCTTTCCGATAGGACTGATAGTTACTGAGAAATTGATTAATCATTCCATTTTTTTTTTAATGAAAAAAAAAATCAAACTTTAACAAGAGAAAAATCTAAAATCTAACAGATTGTGTCAATTTTTTGCATTTGTATTACAGCCTGTTCTGTTACAAAAAAAAATCAAGTTACTAATGAAGCAAATCGATGAATAAATAAAGAAATAATAAGTGGTCAAATAAAAGTGCGCAAAGATTTGTTGTATGAAAAATGTTGCTCATACGTCATGTATGCCTGAGCAACATCCCTGCATTAAATTGAATTAGTTTGAAAGTAATTTATAAACTACTTTATTTTCAATGTTAACTAATTGAAATTCTCACTATTTTACCTGCAACGAACTCATTTATTTAACATGGCGATGTCCTAGGAAGCAGTCAATTGCCTTTTCCTGCATGTATTTTCAACTACTTTAAAATGA